TACACCCGCAATATTCTAGGGCTCATATCTCACAAACTTGAGAAGCTAACAAAAAGTGTTCAACTAACAAAATGCGTAAAATTTCAAGCTCTACATTTTTGCAGTTGACACATTAGTTCTAGCGCTTTTAGTTTTTGAGATAAATGTGCTCTAACCAAACATGTCTGAATTTTAAGCAGATTTGGTGTTATTGCTGATTTTCATAAATTTTGTGCTCCTGATACACCCTTTCCTCTATCCTAGCATCTAAAAAAGTACTCCAACTTCGAACGTCTATATTACAAAAACCAATAACGCTAGACAAAATATTTTAACACCAAAATGTGTGAAATTTTATATAGATCATTTTTGTAGTTGAAAATTTTTCAATAGCTTTTTTAGCTTTTGAGATACACGCCCTGGAAGTGAGCGCACTTTCTTAACTGCAAGGAGACGCTTCGTCTACTAACAAAATGTGTGCAATTTTAAGCTCTACAATTTTATAGTTGACACTTTTTACCTAGCTCTGATGGCTTTTGAGATAAACGCGCTCTAATGCAACCCACCCAATGAAAGGGGTACGATTTCTTCAAGCGTGTATATCTCAGGAACTGGAAAAGCTATCAAACATTGTTCAACTAACAAAATGTGTAAAATTTTATGCTATACATTTTTGTAGTTAGCAACGTTTTCCCAGCTATTTTAGTTTTCGAGATATGCGCCTTAAAACTTACTTGATCTCCACTCGACTACACATCCTCTCCAAAAACCGCAGGCAATTCTCAAAAAAGTCATCCTCAATCCGTTTGGACTCTCGTTTGCACTGTTTTCGGACTTGTATCCGGATGGCTTGAAGGTTCATATAAGACAGCAACTGCAAATTCGCTCTACAGTACTCTACAAAAATTTGATCTACCTACCGTTGTGGCCGTTATCGGGGATACTGTCACATCATGTCCATTTCCAGCCCGTTCGAATTGTGATTGCATTTTTGAATCGTAGAGATGGGAAATGTGCAATTCTTTGTATTTCACATCGTTCCCACGAAGACAGAGACGTCGTTTTTGGGTGAATTCTGGAAGATTAGATTGAACAAAAAATTGTTTTTGCGTTCTATCTTTGCAATCGCGCCCCAGCAAACAACGTACATGCAAAATTCGAATTTGTCTCGTCGAGAGTTTTAAAATAAGTATAAACATGCCTATATTCAAGCGTATTTGAAATTTTTCAGAAAGTGCGCTCTATTGAGAAAAATGGAAAAATCGTCATAACTTTGTTCATTTTAAAGAAAAAAGAGTGATTTTTAAAGCTTCATACGTAAAATTTGTAGCGTTTCAAAATGACACTAATTTTGTTCAGAAAACCAAAAATTTAGAAAATGCGCTCTATTGATAATTTATGAGATATGCCTCTCTAAGACGTTCAAACTTGAAACAAACAAAATTTTTGAATTTGCCTCGTTGAGAGCTTCAAAATAATTATAAACACGCCTAAGTTCCAACGAATTTCAAAATTTTCAGAAAATGCGCTCTACTGAGAAAAATCTAAAAATGATCATAACTTTGTTCATTTCAAAGATAGAAGAGTGATTGGAAAAGCAGCATACGTAAAATTCACAGCATTTTGAGATGATGTTAGTCTTGTTCAAAAAACAAAATTTTTTAAAATGCGCTCTTTTGATAAAACAGTTGAAACATGATTTTTGACAAAATTTATGCAAAACTCGAATTTGCCTTGTTGAGAGCTTCAAAATGAGTATAAACATGCCTATACTCTATCAATTTCGAAAAAGTCAGAAAATGCGCTCTATTGAGAAAAATCCGAAAAATCGTCCTAACTTTGTTCATTTGAAAGATGGAAGAGTGATTCAAAAAGCCAGATACGTCGAATTTGAAGCACTTTAGCATGTTATTCGTTTTGTTCAGAAAACCTAAATTTTAGAAAATGCGCTCTATTGATAATTTATGAGATATGCCTCTCTAACCCGTACAAAATCGAAACAAACAACATTTTTGAATTCGCCTCGTTGAGAGCTTCGAAATAAGTATAAATACGCCTAAATTCCAACGAATTTCAAAACTTTCAGAAAATGCGCTCTATTGATAAAAATGGAAAAATTCGTCATATCTTTGTTCATTTTGAAGATAGAAGAGTAATTTGAAAAGTAAAATACGTAAGCCTAAAAGCGCTTTAAAATGAAAACAATCCTGTTTGGACGAAAACTCGAAAATGCGCTCTATTGATAACTTATGGTAAACCAGCTCTAACTTGGCTAGTTTTTGAGCTAGAATGGTGGATTTCGGGTCAAAGTGTGTGGATTTTCATTGAGAAAAAAGTACCTGGTCCCCGTCTATCAAAAAGGGTAAAACTATAAGTGGCAATTGGATCCGTCCCATCGTCCCGATATTTTGTCAGCGGCCGGTTGTCGACGATGTTGACATGGCAGTGAGCATCGAATCTGAAAATATTTTTTCAGATAAAAAAGAACAGAAAACCTGGAAAATTACAGTCTGATAGTTTTCAAGTTCCTTTGCACCAAACTCCGAAATCGATGGTTTACATGAGCAATGCCAAAAAAGATGTCGTGGCGGGGGAGACGACGGAACACCTGGAAAAGAACGCTTGTATCTCGGGAACTATAAGAATTACGGTAATTTGGTTTAACAAAGAAAATGTTTGAAAATTCATGTACATCAATTTTGTAGTTAACTGCTATTTTGTAGCTAGCTTGGTTTTTGAGATAAAAGCCGTGGAAGAGAGCGCGCTTTTTCTCATGATTCTCGCTTTCTCTTTGTTCGAGCGCTTGTATCTCACGAACCATAAAAGCTACAGTAATTTTTATAATCATTAAAATATGTAAAACTTTATATTCGACATGTTTGTAGTTTACAACTTTTTTGTAGCTAGCTTGGTTTTCGAGATATGCGCCTTTAAAGTTAGCGTACTCTCGCTTCTCTGCGTCTCCTCGCCCCTGACAAAAAAGTGCGCCAACTGCCAAAGTTCATATCTCTAGAACCATAAAAGCTACTAAAATGTTTTCTACTAACAAAATGTGTAAAATTTTACGCTCTACATTTTTGTAGTTGACCACTTCTTTGGAGCTAGCTTGGTTTTCGAGATATACCTGTAGCAAAACTTCATTGGGCAGATCTAGAAGATTTGGCTCCTCGTCGACATCCATTTTCACATAGTCATTTGCTTCTTTTTTCAAGAAGAACGCTGAAAATTTGGAATTTTGAAAAAAAAAGAGAGAGAGAGAGAGAAAGAGAGAGAGAAAGAGAGAGAATCAGAGAATTTGAGAAAAATGAAAGGTTGAAACCAAGAGCAAAAAAAAAGACAAAAAAAACAAAGAGAAGAAGAAAGGGTATCAAATTTCATAGGGACCTCTGTTTTTGCATAAAAAATAACGTATTTTAGAGATAGAGAGTCTCATTTCTCTGCATATTAACTTTAAAATCTCATATATCAAAAAGCAAGCTAGCTACAAAAAAGTTGTCAACTGCAAAAATGTAGAAAATGAAATTTTAAACATTTTGACAGTTGGATACTTTTTGATAATTCCTCTAGTTCGTGAGATATAAGCTCTGGAAGTTAGTGCGTTTTTAGTGGCAACTAGAGGAGTGGGGGGGGAGGGAGGAGACGCAGAGAAGCGAGAGCGCCGGCGCCACTGAAAAGAACGCGTTAGCTTGAAATGATTATATCTCAAAAACTAAAAAAGCTAGCAAAAAGTTGTAAACTACAAAAATGTCGCTTATACAATTTTACACATTTTGTTTGTTGACATATTTTTGCTAGCTCAAACAGTTTTTGAGATATAACCGTTTGAAAAAGGGGTACCAAAAAGTTATCTAATTGAGCTCTTTTTTTTTAATTTTAAAGGTTTAGAACATTCTAAAAGCTAGAATATAGAGAAATGAGAGGCTTTTTCTCTGTTTTTTCTTTTTTTTTCCATAACAAATCTTGTTTTCGTCGTCAAAAAACCTTCAAACTGAAAAAAAAGAACTGCAAAAAAAATGAGAAAAAGAGGGATTTAGAGAAAAAGAGGAGAAAAACAACAACAAAATAGAAAAAGAAGCTTTGAAAACGACAGAAAAATACTGGAAAAATGTAAAAAATCAAATTTTTTGGAATTTTTTTTTTGAAAAATCATCAAAACTTGATCAAATTTAAAATAAAATCGGCATGACGAGAGACGAGAGACGCAGAGAAAAAGTCTAGTGTAATACTAAAGTAAATGGCTGAAAACAGATGCTGGTTTCTCGATTTTTGCGATGGAATCACATTAAATAGCAGTCCGAATTGTTACAACTTACAACTTGCGGTCAAGAGAAGACCTTGTGACCGAAAAAAAAGTGGAAACTTTTATTTGGCAGAAGAAAATTAGCTTTAAATAGAAGAAAAAAGAAGAAAAAAGGCAAAAGGTCTAGGGAGGAGTCGAACCCCTGACCTCTCGCACCATGGCGCAGCACACAACCCCGACACCACCGCGACGCTTTCCTCCTTTATGGGTGGAAGGCGGTTAAGTGTGTGCCGCTTTCTCAATTTTTTTGGGAGGCATGGGGAAGCTCTGAGGAAGAAATAAAACTGGAATACAGTACCTCATTTCCAGAATTTTGTGAAATATCTCGGCTCAAACAAATTCGAATCTTACAAAAATTAGAGAGTTATCTAAAAACCTCAATATTAACCTACCCAGCAAGTTTCATCTAAATCTGAGGCTTATTTTTTTGAGATTGGGAACTTGGAGCTTTAAAAAATGAGCAATTTGGAACACCAAAGGTGAAGAAGGGGGTGCCAAGATCTCTCAAAAATCTTTCGGATAAGTACATCTCTATTGACATAGGTTCAAGGAGTAAAGGGGGGCAAAAGTTGGGGTGGTGGGATCTCGAGACTCTTCACTTTTTGAACAAATAGACATTGGGGGGATATTGCTCAGCGCCGAGTTTCCGTGGTTTTTTGTTCGTTTTGTGGTAAAATATGTAGAAGAAAGATCTTGGAAACATTTGTGAAAAGTTAGCAAAAGAATGGATGAACGGGAGTCAATCTGTGGCCATAGCGCACTTTCATAGCGTGTAGTGCATTAGAGCGCGTTTAACTTAAAAACTAGGCAAGTTAGCAAAAAATGTGTAACTACAAAAATATAAAGCATAAAATTCTACACGTTTAGTTTGTTAACAAAATTTGGATAGCTTATTTGGTTTTTGAGATATACGCGTTTAAAGAAAGCGCACCTTCTCGGACAACAGGGGAGGAGGTGGGGTTGGGGTATGCTATATTTGACCTCAATTATCTCGACTCTCGTAAAGGATAACAAAAAGTTGAAAATTGCTAAAATGTGTAAAATGTTATGACAAATATTTTATTTGTTTATAATTTTTTGATAGCTTTTTTAGTTTTTGAGTTAAACGCGCTCTAATGAAATCGCATTGTTAAGGAGGTTATTTTGTATGATTTCTTTGAGCGCGTATATCTCATAAGCCAGTAACGGTATCAACAAAGTGTTAATTAATAAAATGTGCAAAATTTTAGGGCAAACATTTTTTTAGTTGACAAATTTTTGATATCTCTGATAACAGCCGAGATAATTAGACTCAAAGTAACAGTATAGTGAAGAGGCCTTCTGTTAGACGACAAAAGAGAAGCAACTGAAAATTGGTCAATTTAAGAATGTTCTAGAAAATTAGAAAAGAAAAAAAAACGTTCTTTTCACTTTTTCTTATCACAAAGAAGAAGTTAAAAGTTTAGTGGACCATGAAAAAAAAACGAATTTAATTTAAAAAGAAGAAGAAGGAAATGAACTGGAATTATCTGAAAAAAAAGGGAAAGTGAGAGAGAATTAGAGAAAAAGAAAAAAAATAAAAAGAAGCTTTACTTACCTATTGACAATATATATTTATATTGAAAAACCAGTTTCAGATTCTTTTTGGAATATCTAGAAAAAAGACATTTTATGGAGGTTTAAAGGTCTATAAAAGTTTTATGAATAGCTAAAAATGGGGAAAAATAGAAAAAGAAAAGTATTTTTAGCTTTTTTATAGCTTAAATGACATTTTAAAAAAATTCGAAAAAAAAAATGTTTTTTTTTCGAAAAAAATTAATAATTTTCAGAAATTCTACCTTTTCCATTTTAACTTTGCAACCGCGCTCCACTGAACAAACATTTTGCTAAATTCAAATTTGTCTCGTTAAGGGCTTCAAAATGAGCATAAACATGCCTATATTCAAGCGAATTTGAAAATTTTCAGAAAACGCGCTCTATTGAGAAAATTCAGAAAAACTGTCATAACTTTGTTCATTTTAATGATAGAACAGTGATTTTTGAACTGAGAGACGTAAAATTGAAAGAGCTTTGAAATTAACTTAGTTTTACTCAGAAAATCATTTTTTTGAAAATGCGCTCTATTGATAACTTATGTTAAACGCTTGAAAAAATTTCAATAAAACATTCGCGAAAATAAAACATTTTCAATAAAACATTTCCAAAACAACAGTAATGTTGTTTGGGAACAAAATCGAAAATGCGCTCCATTGATAATTTATGTGAAACAGTTCTAACTCGGCTAGTTTTTGAGCTAGAAACATGGATTTTGTGTCAAAATGTGTAGTTTTTTTTCCATTTTCAAAAAACCTTATTTATTAATGTTTGACGACTTCTATTGTGAATTCCAGCGAAATTCGGGATAAAAAATTTTCAAAAAACAATTTTTTTTTTGAAAAACATTTTTTGAGCAAAACTAGATAGCTCTAAATGTTCCAAGGATAAATAACTAGGTCACAAAATGTTTAAAGTTATACGGGCCGGGGGGGGGGGGGGCTATAGATCATCCTCTCTTCTCTATCTATTTGTTTATTTATCCCACAAAGTCTAGTTCCTCACTTTTTTCATTTTTTCAAATTTTTTGTTGTATTTGTATTTGTTAAAAAAATAGAACGAACTAGTTGAGTTATTATATAATAGGAGGGTGAGAAAATCAGAAAGTGTGAGATATTTATCTTTTTTTCGAAAAAAAAAGTGAAAACTTGAGGAAGACGCGTTTTGCATATGCGCCACTGTTGCCCTTCATTTGATTTATGAGAGAAGCTTTTTTCACTTTTTCAGCTAGAGTTTAGAGAGATCAGAGAAAACATTCGAAAATTTACAAATTTTTTTTTTGAAAAAATCGAAATTTGATTTTTTCGTTTTTTCTTGGTAATCGCGCTCTACCAGACAAAAACTTTGCGAAATTTGAATTTGGCTCGTTGAAAGCTTCGAAATGAGTATAATCATGCCTATATTCAAGAAAATTTCAAAACGTTGCAGAAAATGCGCTCTAATGAGAAAAACTGAAAATTCGTGGTAACTTTGTTCATTTTGAAGATACAAATGTGATTTTAAAAGCTAAATACATGAAATTTCGAGCGCTAGCAAATTATAACATTTTTTTATTCAAATCGCTGTTTTCTGAAAATGCGCTCTACTGATAATTTCTTGGAAAATTCTTGAGAAATGATATTTTAACGAAAACTTTGCAAAATTCGCATTTGCTTGTTGAGTGCTTCAAAATGAGTATAATCATGCCTATATTTGAGCGAAATTCAGATTTTGGAGAAAATGCGCTCTGTTGACAAAAACCTGGAAAATCGTTATAAATTTGTACAAATAAAAGATACTATTGTGATTTTGAAAGATAAATACATAAAATTTAAAGCGCTTAAAGATGAGTATAAAAACAATTTTGTTTGAAAATTTTGAAAATGCGCTCTATTGATAATTTATGTAAAACGGGCATATCTTGGCCAGTTTTTGCGCTAGAAAGATGAGTTTGGTCTTAAAATGTGTGGATTTTTGCCTAGTTCATCATATTTTAAAAACTTTGAGCGAGAGACGGAGACAGTTAGAGTGTCTCGCTGTCTGCGTCTCTCCTATAGTCATATCTCGGCAATAGTCATATCTCGGCTTCTAGCATATCTAGAAAAGTGATCTTTGGCGTAAAATATTTCAAATTTCGGCGAATTTTCGAAAAATTCAGTGTGCACGTAACAAAAAAAAGAGTTTCCTAGCGATATTTTCTGGGACGCTGTCTGCGTCTCCCAAACTAAGAATCTTCAAAAATACAATTTTTGTGGAACCGAAAAAATTATTTATGAATGTGGTTTTGCCTTTTATTGTTTTCGGTCACAAACTGCAATTATATTTTCTTTTTTTCAAAAATTGAACACAAACTACAGAACGCAGGGGAACAAATCGAATTTCAAAAACAAAAATTCGATATTGAACTAAAAAAACATCATAAAAAGGAGCCTAAAAAAAGAGTCTAAAAATGTTTCTAAAGTGCCTAAATTTTTTTTCCACTATTAAAACAAAAAGCAAAAAAAGAAAACCTATGGTGGGGTCGAACCAAAAAACCTTCAGTTCTTTGGACATCTGCGCAGACCACTACACCAAACGCGCACTTTAAAAAGAGAGGAGTGGAAGATGATGATAAAAGGGGGGGGCGCGCGGGATTACTTGAGCGGCCGGCAACATTTGAAAAAAAAAAATTTTTCAAAAATTTCAAAAAATCTAAAAACCAAAGATTGCACTTTCAGAATTTCATCGAAGCAACCAATCATCAAATATCGTGTTACTTTTATACCTTTTTCTTCCCCTTTCTAGCCTAGAAAGAAAGAAAAACTGATGATTTGTTTAGATAAGCGACTAGTACTTTTACTACTTTTCCCCTTTTTTCAAATCGTTTTCCCTTTTCGAAATTTGAAAAAAAAGGAAAGTATCAAATCGAAAACCAAACCGGTTGAGTGGATTATCTAGAAAATGAGATCTATATAATGGGAGGTGGCTGGAACTGAATGAAAGGAGACGCAGACATTTTTTTTTCAGTTTTGACAAAAATAGATTCTATTAGCTCTCCGATTGCTCTGAAAATTTCAGAAATGACAGAAAAAATCTAGAACTTCATTTTTGTAGTTGACAACTTTTTTGGAACATTGATTCCTGAAAAGATAGAGACGCAGACAGTTAGCTTCACCTATAAATAATAATACTGTGGCTTCTGGTATAGCTAGAAAAATGAATTTTACAGAATACTTCAAATTTTTAAAAGCAAGCCAAAATTAGAAGTGTTTTGCGCCAAAAATCACTTTTCTAGCTATACCAGAAGCCAAGATATAGCCATTTGAAGTTAAGGAGACGCAGACAGCGAGACACTCTAACTGTCTGCGTCTCTCGCTTAAAAATTGTTACCCATTCGAAATAGGCAGAAATCTACACATTTTGACATCGAATTCATCTTTCTAGCTCAAAAACTCGCCAAGTTATGGCAGTTTTACATAAATTATTAATAGAGCGAACTTTCTGAAAAAAAAATTTTTAGCGATATTGTGATCATCTTGAAGCTCTTCAAATTTTACGTATTTTGCTTTTTAGATCATTCTTCTACCTTTAAAATAAACAAAGTTATGACGATTTTTCGATTTCTCTCAATAGAGCGCGTTTTCTGAAAGCTTTGGAATTCGCTCGAACATAGGCATGTTTATACTCATTTTGAAGCTCTTCACGAGCCAAAAGCAAATTTGTCGTTTGTTTCCGATTTGAGCGTCTGTTACATAAAATTATCAATGAAGCGCATTTCAAAAAAGAAGTTGTTTTTCAACAAAATTATAATCATTTTGAAGTTTTTCTAATCTCACGCATTTTGATTTTCAAATCACTTTTCTATCTTTAAAACAAACAAAGTTATGGTGATTTTCCGGTTTTTTTTCATTAGAGCGCGTTTTCTGCAAATTTTGAAATTCGCTGGAATATAGGCATGTTTATACTCATTTTAAAGCTCTCAACGAGACAAACTCAAATTTCCAGTTAGATTTCGATTTGAAAATTCCAGATTCAGATAAAATAGAAAAATAAGACTTTTATTAAGATCCAAAATCTACCATTTCATTTTTAGAAAAATGAGACAGCACAACATGTATGAAAGCATTTCTTTCATTGATTCATATGCTTTCTTGACACGACCGAACATGGGCTTTTTGTAGTTTGTAGTTTATTGATGTCCTGAAAAAAGAGCGTAATACAGTACCCAGCCGAAAGTTTTGAAAATTCATACCTTCTTTTTGAAAATTACCGAATTTCGAATGTCCAAAGAAGTACCGTAGACTTTGTTGGAAGAGTCTGAAGATTTCTGAAAATTTCAAATATATTCAGCAAAAAAAGAGAGATAAAAGCGATTTTTCGATGTTCCTCACAATCAGTGGAGCGCATTTTCAAACGTTTTGAAAAATTATTATCAATTTGAAGCGCTTAGAATTTCATGTATCATGCTTTTTAAATCACTCATTTATCTTCAAAATGAACAAAGTTATGACAATTTTTCCATTTTTCTCAATAGAGCGCGTTTTCTTCAAATTTTTGAAATTTGCTTCTATATGGACATGATTATACTCGTTTTGAAGCTCTCAACGGGACAAATTCAAATTTTAAGTTTGTTTTCGATTTGAACATCTTCGAAAGAAAATTTTCGGCAAAAAGTGTGTTTTGGAAGTTGCTTTTTAATTTAAAAAAAAACGATATTTTTGGGTAATTGTGTGTAGACATCTCGGAGATCTCTAAATCAAAAGCGTAGGTTAGATGAAAAGAGGGGAGAGGGGGTGTTCTTGGTGACCACAATTATGGAAACCAAAGAATATCATATTGGAAAGGTGAGCTTTCAAGAAGGCGTTTCAGTTTTTGCTCCTTTGACAAAGGTTTTTCAGACTGTACCCGAAATGATTGCCACACTCGAAAAATACGATAATGAATGTAGATGGGCTGTAAGTAAGGCTGTTCTCCCGGAAATTATTAGAATAGCGAGTGAAGCCCACTTTCGATATGTTGAAATGGTCAGTTCGCATTCTCGGATTACTGTAGTTTCGTTATGAACCCACATACTCAAGCTTAGAACCTAGCATCAGCGAATTATGGTTGAAACTTCTGATTTTTTTTTTCAGACTAATGATTCACGAATTGCAAACTATGACGAAACCGGTGAATACCTTCAAGTCGTTCTCAGACCATTTCCGAATTATGAGGATATGGTAATTCTTATAGAATACAATTTTCTTTATTTAGCCAGTTTGTTTTTCAGCCAAACGAAGAGTTGATAAAACGCTACAACCACAGCAGTCACTGGGTTTTTTGAGTCAATGAAAAAAAAGAATCGGGAAGAAGAATAAGGATTCTTGATAATTATGAAATTACCTTTGAAAGTTGTTGAATTGAATAAATATTTAATCTACACATTTTGACACCAAATTCATGCCTCTAGCTTAAAAACAGACAGATTTATACCCATTTTACGTAAATTATCAATAGAGCGCATTTTGGAAATTTTCAAGAAATTTTTATCGTTTGGAAGCCTCTTAAATTTTACGTATTTATCTTTTTAAATCACTCTGTTATCTTTAAAATGAACAAAGTTATGACCATTTTTCGATTTTTCTCAATCGAGCGCATTTTCTTCAAATTGTTGGAAGTCGTTTGAATATGGGCTTGTTTATACTCCTTTTAAAGCTCTCAACAAGACAAATTCAAATTTTTAGTTTGTTTTCCATTTGAACGTCTATTAAAAATTAATTATCACTGGAGCGCATTCTCAAAAAAAGATATTTCTAACAAAACTGTGATAATTTTGAAGCTCTTCAGATTTCACGTTTTTTCGCTTTTTAAATCACTCTTTTATCTTTGAAACGAACAAAGTTATGACCATTTTTCGATTTTTCTCAATAGAGCGCATTTTCTGCAGAATTTTGAAAATCTCTAGAATATAGGCATGTTTATACTTATTTTAAAGCTCTCAACGAGACAAATTCAAATTTTTGGAGAGAAACATTCTAACTGTCCGTGTTAACTTTAAAATGCGCATATCTCAGTTTCTAAAATGGATACTAATTTTTTTGTAAACTGACAAAATGCTTGATTTGAAATTTTACACATTTTATTAGTTGAACACTTTTTGAAACAAATGAGATAATAGGGGTTAAAAATTGTTCTCCTTTCCGATTCTCTTTTTTCATTGTCTTGACTCGATTGCTCATATTATGGAATAGTGTCCAATCCCATCCATTGCCACCTGTTTGTGAAAGTTTTGTCGGCCCGTCTCTTGGCAGAGTTTGGCAAAGGCATCATTCGTTCTACGAATACTAGGGCATTATCAATTGCTCGTATTACTGAAAAACAAAAATTGAGTGATCAAAGAAATTAGTGATTTTCAGAAATTACCATAATTGCCCGCGGTATGTCCGGGGTATCAGGTTCCTGTGATAAAATAGAAGAAAATCAACAAGAAATGTAACAAAATCGGTTTATTATGAACAAGTTAGAAAGAAACAACCAATACAAGCTTAGAATTCAAGCAAACTCACTTGAAATCCTTAAAAGGGTCCCTAGAACAACCACGAGCCAAATCCAAGCTCGCAATCACTCAAAACTAAATTTAAACTGTGCGCGCGCCGAGCGGGATAGCGGAGTGTCGTTGCGTGGGTAGAGGGAACCTTTTGAAGGAGTTGGAGGGTAGATGCGCCAGGCAACTCCATTGTCTCGTAATTCAGAGTTGAAGAAGTCGGCTTGAGAAGTTTTCGAGAAGAAATCATGGATCATTTTGTAGTTGGCAAGTTTTTGATATTTATCATGAAAAGAACGTTATTAGAAAATCCATTAACCTCAAAACGTTAAACCATTTCATCAAATCGATCATAGGTTTCATCCATAATTCTAACGATTGCCTTGAAAAAAACACTCATCCCATTGCTCATTTTTTGGGCACTGTTAAATTTTTTAGCAGCAGTATATGTATTGGAACTTTGGACCTCATATTCTTCGACGAAATTATCACAAGCCATACGACTATTGTAGCACTCTATCAGCTTTTCGTAGGGCTCAAAAAAAAAGACAATTTGAGTGGCACCCCCACATACCGTCCTCTTGGAGCCAATTTATCTCGGTTCCTATTAAAGGTGGGGGGACATGAAAAAATAATATTCTCGAAATTCTGATTAAATATGCCCCTCGAGGAGTTGAACTTGTCGAGGCGAGTATTAAAAGTGCGGCGCCGCTACCGACTGAGCCACGCGGGCGAAACTGGAGCGGGCGCCTGATTGAATACATAAAGGCGAGGACGACAGCTGTACGCAGAGTGACATTTAGCGTTGTACACCGTCACGGTAGAATGCATACTCTCTTCATCCCATGTTGCACTATTAAACCTCATTAATCAAATACGTTTGGAAAGCTGGATTGGCGTTTTCTCTGGACCCTCCATCGTTGGCTTCGACACATCTCTTTTCCGAGTCTTCTTTTTCGGAAGCATGGCGACAATCTGAAATTCTCATATTTAAAATAGAAGAAGCGTGGGAAAAAAGTCTTTTCTTCAACTTGGCCTTCTACGCCAACTCCATCTTCGCATGTTTGCTTTCTACAACAGAACAGGTCTTCAAGCTGGTTCACGAAAATAACAACTCCAGAAACTATGAATATTCCAATACTTAATAAATCGAATTATGTATCCGCCAACACAGTTGTGGTCGCTGATGTGCATACCAAAGAGTACCGATAGTCCGCATCCTAGTGAAGTGAAAAGAATACTGACTCGGATCAAATTTATCTAAAACAGGAGAATTTTGAAAGGATCAAAACACACAAAACATAACCTTGAAGTCCTGGATTTCATTGATAAGGTTCTCATGGCGACTTCATTCTGCGAAGTGAGATACTTAACGACTACATCGGTTTCGGCTTGGGTCCATCCGGTGTTTTTTAACAGAATTTCAGCAGAAACAGTTGTTGGTGCCACAGTAGAAGGATCGGTTGTTGGAGTAATAGTAGAAGAAACTGCAGATGAGCCATCTTTTGTTCTTGGAGCTTTGAAAGCTCTTTCAAACCAATGCTTTCCTGAGTGCTTTTACTAGCCATGATGATGGTTTCCCACTGTTTCCTCTAGCCTTTTATGCACAAAATCTAAAGCACTGGGTCATTTTTTCTGTAGATTCTCATCTTTTTTCTCCAGTTTATCACAAAAAAATAGTTTAATTAAAACGTTTTTATTTCCATCCCTTCACCTTGTTTTTTTTTTCAAAAATTTCAGATTTTTTTATTTAAAATTTTGCTGAAATGTGTCTTTTTTTTCTAATTTTCTGAATTCCTCTACTTTTTTCCTCGATTTTTATTCAAGTTTGAATCTCCCCCCAATTTTCGAAAGAAAAGCGCCAACAATTCTACTGGCGCATTTCACGATCGTTGACCCATTTCTCGTTTTTTTGTTTCGAATTTAGTTTTCCGACACTTTTTTAGTTATTTTTAACACTTTTCCAGCTTCAAATTGAGTTTTTTCGATTTCCAGAGTGAGAGAATTGTTCAAACGGTGATTTTTCACATAAAAAGGATGGAAAATTATCGTTTTTCGCTAGTTTTTGACCCGAAAATGGGGTTTTGTCGATTTTTCATGTTTCTGGCCCGATTTTTCTCCTTTTGTCACTTTTTTTTCTCGATTTTTAGCACAGTTTTATCGGATTTTCAGCGAAAAATGTCGCGTTCCGGCGAGGCATACGCTCAAGAGCTCAACCGCAAGCGTGCCGCTGCTCAGCGTGCCGCCGCCAACGAGGACAACGATGAGAACCAGGGGAATGGGAATAAAGTGGCGTTTGGGGCAGCCGGAAATTTTGATACAGTGAGTTTAAGCCCAAAACATCGAGTTTTAGCTATTCTGAGACCCAAAACATCATTTTCTAGCTATTTTTACTGCCCAAAACCTTTGTTTTTCGATTTTCGCATCTAAAAACCCATTTTCCAGGACGTCTATGGAAGTGTTCGTGGCGAGAGCCGTGATGGGTATCTCGATTCGATCGGAACTGGAGAAGAAGACGATGTGGACGAGGACTCGATGCCAACAGTACAGAAGAAGGCTACCAACTACTCCCAGCCACACAAATTCATCGAAGAAGTCGCTGCGGCTTCAGAAGACACGGATCCATTCGCTGACACTCGCACCAAGACCATCGCGGAGCGCCAATCCAAGTACCACGAGCGAGCGATGAGAAGACAGATCTCGCCGGATCGTGCCGACGCTTTTGGTGAGTGGAAATCGGTTTAAAATCCCAAAAAATAGCTCTAAAAACCTTCAAAATCAGATTTTGAGCTTGAAAAACTAGAAAAACTCTTGAAATTCTCTTCAAAACGTCTTGAAGGGGTTCAGGCTGATAACCACAGTTTGAAACCCTTCTAAGCATCGTGCTGACCTAATTTCAAACTTTAGAAACTTGATACCCCCAGAAAAAAGCTCTCCAGGGCACAAAAATGCTCCCAAAACCAGATTTTGAGTCTGAAAATCGGAAAAATCCCAGAAAAATGCGTTTGAAAGCTCAAAAAAGGCCCTAAAACCGTTCGAAACCAGATGTTTAGCTCGAAAAATCAAGCTTTTTCTTAAAAAATTGATCTTTAGAGAGAAAAATTGGTTTAAGAATTGTAAAATCTCAGAAAAATGCTCTCTAGGGCTCAAAAAGGTCCTAGCACCGGTCAAAACCAGAGTTTTAGCTTGAAATTGACTGAAAATTGACCCCGAATGCTTAAAATCATGATTTTTCACCCAAAAATCGATTTAAGCCCCTCCAAAACTCCCTTAATTGAAGTATAAATGATCTAAAGTTCCTGAAAAATGCTCCAAAACCTGATTGTCAGCTAGAAATTGAGTGAAATTTGACCCCGAAATGCTAAAAAGTCATTTTTTTTTCAATCTGAAAATCGTTTTTCCAGTTGATCTAGCTTGAAAAAATGCTCCAAAACCAAATTTTTTGCTTGAAATTGAGTGAAAATTGACCCCGAAATGCTTAAATTCCATATTTTTACCCTGAAAATCGACTTTTTCCAGTTGATCTAACTTGGAAAAATGCTCTCCAAGCCTCTGAAAATAATCCAAAACCAGATTTTCAGCTTGAAATTGACTAAAAATTGGTCCCGGGGTGCTGAAAATCATGATTTTCCACCCGAAAATCGACTCTAACCCCTTCAAAACTCCCTTAATTGGAGCAAAAATGATCTAAAATCCCTGAAAAATGCCCTCCATGACCCTAAAAATGCTCCAAAACCAGATTTTTAGCTACAAATTGAGTGAAAATTGACCCAGAAATGCTTAAATTCCATATTTTTACCCTGAAAATCGACTTTTTCCAGTTGATCTTGCTTGGAAAAATGCTCTCCAAAACCCTAAAAATGCTCCGAAACCAGATTTTCAGCTCCAAATTTACCCTAAAAATCGATGTTTTTTCCAGTTGATCAAACGCCGGACAACCGTAACCGCGGCTACGCGGAAGTGATGCGCGATCAGCGTTATCACGAGGAGAAGGGTCGTGTCGAGAGAGAGCTCGCGGATCGAGCCAAAGCCGGAGAGCTCCACGTCACCCGGGAGCCAGAGAAGAAGAAAGGCCGTTGGGATGCCACAGAAGCGCCAGAATCCTCCGAGAACCTCGGAGCCGCATCAGCTACACCGTCCCAAGGATCCGCGCCACGCAAACGTCTCGGATTCGCGAGTCTGAGTGCCGAGGCGGCGACTCCAAGAGCAGCTCGCTGGGATGAGACGCCAGCTCACTCCACTGGAGCCGCCGATGCGACGCCTTCTATCGATAAGTGGTCATCGACGCCAGCTGCTCAGACTCCAAGACGAAATCGATGGGATGAGACGCCGAAAGCCGATTTGAACGATGGATCAATGACACCTGGATGGGGAATGGAGACACCGGCACGTGGTGCTTCCGATGATGTTAAGGTTCGGTTTTTGGAATCCTGAAATCCTGTATTTTGAAAGTTCAAGTGCCTAAAAATCGATTTTCAGAAGTCTAATATCCTGAAAATCTCGCCAAGAATGGCTGAAAATAGCTTGAAAATTGGTCTAAAAAAAGCCTAAAATGGCTTAAAATCGCCTGGAACGGCCTAAAATAGGACTGAAAACTCGAAAAATTGGCTTTTTCAACCTCTAGATTGACCTACAAAAGCCTAAAATAGACTTAAAAAGCCAGCCTAGAAATCACCTCAAAAGCTTCGAAATCGGCTTATTTTAGCCTAAAATTTGGCCTAGAACAGCTTAGAATTGGCCTAAAATTGTCTAGAAAATGCCCCGAAAAGCTCGAAAAATTGGCCTCAGAACAGCTCAAAAATTGGCATATTTTCGCGTAAAAATTGGCCTAGAGCAGCCTAAAGAAGGCTTAGAATAGCCTGAAATTCGCCTAGCAGAGCCTGAAATAACCTAAATCTCTCAAAATTTGGTCTAGAATAACTTAAAAATCGCCCTAGAATTGTCTAGAAAATGCCCCAAAAAGCTCGAAATTCCTGCCTAAATTAGCTTGAAATCAGCACGGATTAGGCTAAATTAGGCTTTGAATGGCCTAAAATAGCCTAGAATTGCTTCGAATAGACCCTCGAAAATTGGCCTAGTTTCTAGTCCAGAATCAATCCAGAATAACCTAAAATTGGCCTAGAATAGCCTAAAAGAGCCTAGAATTGCCTAGAATTGTCTAGAATTGGTCTAGAACATTCGAAAAGCTGATCCGGAATTTTTTAAATTGACATAAGATGTCTAAAATAGACCCAAAAAAACCTGAAAACTGGTCTAGAATAGCCTTAAATTCACTTAAATCCAGGTTTTCGGCTCAAAAATGCCTGAAAATCCCCCTATTTTTGCTATAAATTCTAATCTGAGCAATATATATTTCCAGATCGAGGACACACCATCCGCCTCAAAACGTCGTTCTCGCTGGGACCTGACACCGTCTCAAACGCCAAACGTCGCTGCCGCTACGCCACTCCACGCCGGCGCCCAAACCCCATCGTTCACTCCAAGCCACCCCTCACAGACCCCGATCGGAGCAATGACACCAGGAGGAGCAACGCCAATCGGAACTGCAGCAATGGGCATGAAGACGCCAGCGCCCCATATGATACCGATGACACCCGAACAAATGCAAATTTATCGTTGGGAGAAGGAGATTGACGATCGGAATCGACCATTGACCGATGAGGAGCTGGAATCGTTGTTCCCGCCCGGATACAAGGTTCTCGTGCCCCCAATGAACTATATTCCGTTGAGGTGAGGTTTTGAGAAGCCTAAAATTGGTCTAAAGCGCCCGGAAATCGGCCTAGAGGAGCTCAAAATTGGTCTAAAACGGACTGAAATTAGCCTAGAGTCGATCAAAACCACTTGAAAATTGCCTGAAATTGGCCTAAAACAGCCTGAAAATTGACTTTAAAATAGCTCTACATCATGAAAATCGATCCAAATTGACCTAGATGAGCTTCAAATCGGCCTAAAATCGGCCTAGAATAGCCTAAAATGACCTATTAGGGACCGAAAAACAGCCTAAAATAACTCAGAATTGACTTGAATGAATGAGCTTAGACTCTATCCAAAAGACCTGAAAATCGCCTAAAATTGACCTAGAACAGACTAAAAATTGATTTAATAGCTCTACAACACGCAAATCGACCCAGATTATGGTAAAATCGATCTAAATTGACCTAGATGAGCTTAAAATTGGCCTAGAACAACCTAAAAATCGACTTAAAATAGCTCTATATCATGAAAGTTGACCCAAAATTGCCTAAAATCGACTTTCAAACCGCCAAAATTGGCCTAGAATTGCCTAAAATGGCCTAAAACGAGCCTAAAATAACCTAAAATTGATCTAAATTGCCCTGAAATTGAGCTAGATTAGCTTTAAATCGTCCTGACATAGCCTAAAATCGATCTAAATTGACCTAGATGAGCTTAAAATTGGTCTAAAATAGCCTACAATCGCTCCTAACGACCTGAAAATTGCCTAAAATTGGCCTACATTGTCCGCAAATTAAGCTAGATGAACTTTTAATCGATCTAGATTGACCTAGATAAGCTTAAAATTGACCTAAAATTGCCTAAAATTGATCTAAACTGCCCTGAAATCGAGCTAGATGAGCTGGAAATTGGTCTAAAACGGTTTAAAATAGCCTAGAATCGCTTCAAACGACCGGAAAATTAGCTAAAATTGGCCTAGAACAGCCTAAAAATCGACTTTAAATAGCTCTATATCATGAAAGTTGACCCAAAATTGCCTAAAATCGACTTTCAAACCGCCAAAATTGGCCTAGAATTGCCTAAAATGGCCTAAAAGCAACTCAAAATAGCCTAAAATTGACCTAAAATGCCTGGAAATATGCGGAATTTTCGCCTAGGATAGCCTAATAATGGCCTAAAATTGCCTAAAACCATCTACAACCCCCAAATACTTGCTCAAAACAAAAGCAAAAAAAGTTTGCCACCGAGTGTAATCGAACCCTGGTGCTGATTTTCCGAGAATTTCGTCCATAATCCCACTAGGCCACCCAAGCAAAATTTTGAACAATGTCGATTTTCGCTGATTTTTTCAAGTTTTATGGGTTTTCAGATGGTTTTGAGTTGGTTTTCAGAGTTATTTTGCCCAGAATAGCCTAGAAACAACTTGAAAACAGCCTGAAATGGCTCCAAATCGACTTTAACATCATTAAAATTGGCCTAAAATAGCCTAGAAGCAATTTAAATGACCTTAAAATAGTCTAGAACCTTCTAGAATAACCGAATTCTTGTCCGAAAACCTTTTCTGGGGGTTTTTAGTAGGTTTAATGCGGATTTGAGAGGTTTTAGAGAGCTAAATTGGCCAAAAATAGCCTGAAATTAGCCTAGATTAGCCTAAAACATGCCCAATATTTCCAGAACCCCATCTCGCAAACTAATGGCCACGCCAACACCAATGGGCGGCGCCGGCGCTGGTGGATTCTACATGCCAGGCACTCCGGATCGTGACGGTGTCGGAGAGAAGGGCGTGGGTGGCCTAGTCGACACTCAACCGAAAAACGCCGAACTTCCACCTCTGAAACCCGACGATATGCAGTATTTCGACAAACTTCTGATGGATGTGGACGAGTCTTCGTTGAGCCGAGAGGAGAAGAACGAGAGGGAGATCATGGAGCATCTGCTGAAGATCAAGAACGGAACACCGCCGATGAGGAAGTCGGGACTTCGAAAGATCACAGAAAACGCCAGAAAGTACGGTGCTGGACCCCTTTTCAATCAGATTCTTCCACTCCTGATGTCACCGTCGTTGGAGGATCAAGAACGACATCTGATGGTGAAGGTTATCGATCGAATTCTGTACAAACTGGATGACCTGGTTCGCCCGTATGTTCACAAGATTCTCGTTGTTATTGAGCCACTTTTGATTGATGAGGACTATTA